CAGACAGAGGCTTAGTCCACTACACCACAGCGCTGCCCCCCTCGGGGAATTTTTTTACCAGCTTAGACAGTGAGTGTACCATAGGTGCCTGTCTTTTCATAGGCCAGCGCTCAGTTGCAGCTCTGTCTTCGCGAGGAGGTCTCCCAATTAGATTTAAATATACATTCACACTTGGAACAAACATCAGATCCTTCCCTTTGTCTTCATTCCCCCGCGGCCCCTCCCCTCCGCCAGCATTTTAAACCCATAATCTACTACACGGGAAAGAGAAGGTGCTGGAAGCATTGGATGCACTCAGGCCCTAGGAGGTGGGTGAGAAGCGGCTCCTTTCTCAGGTTAGCACACTTCTACCCCTCAGTGTCTCCCCTACAGAGTCCCCTTTGGTGGCAAGACAGAGACGGTCTCACTGACTTGGAGAACTCTTAGGGTCTTGGGTCGAAAAGAAGAGCGAGTGCGTGACACCCAGCCCAGCCATGTGAAGGGACTTCAAAAAGTTCATAGAAAAAAATAGTGGAATTGGAAAAAAAAAGTTTACTTTGGTGGGAAAACGTTTGAAATGCGGTGAGCATCGTCTGCGTGCTTCCGGGAGACCCGTGGGATGCTGTGTTTCGCTTTCTGAGCCATTTTTACGCTGGCTGCTGCGCAGGTGCTGAGTTCTATGAATATGGAGCACTTGTGTGCGGCTGGGGGTGTTGGCCATGGGGAATAGAGGACCTTGGCTTTCATACATGTAAATGAACTGGAGAGTGCACTAGCTTTGTTCAAAGAGCAAGAAACAGGTCTTGTCTACCTGCAAGCATAGTTCCCCTTTCTTCCCTGCCGGCTGGGGCCTGAGCAATGCCGTCTTAGGCTGCCTGTGCACTTTGCCTTGCAGATGGTTTATTAGGTGGGCAGGTCATCTCCTCCTCCAAGGTCAGCTTTGAAGTTCACCAGCTGAGGACTGAGGAAAGCTACTTACTAGGAGGTTCTCCAATGGGACACAGTTGGGCTTGAAGGTCCCAAGGGTAGGAAACCTGGGAAATACCTCTTTCTCCTTATTAGTTGTAAACTAAATGGGTCCTTGGGTTCTGGGTCCTGCAGAGTGCATGGAGAGGGCCACCCCCGCCCCGGCTCTCTCTGCTCTGTGGCCAGCCAACCTGCCCCCCTCCCACGGGCTGCCCAGCTCAGGGGTCCTAGTGCAAGGAGCCCAGTCAGCACCTTCCTCCCTTTGGTCCTCACTGCCACCAATTCCCTGTGGCTTCCTCCTCCCCTAGGGGCTGGGTCTCGCCCAGCACGATGCTGCGTATGGGCCCACCCCCTTAGACTGGGCACCCTGGATTTGCCCTTGGTCCTCACCAAGAACCTGCTCTCTGGGGGTTCAGCACGTAGACCCCATCCCTTGACCACCTACCCTTTCTGGAGTCCATCCAGAAAATACCTCCTCCTGCTTCGTGGTTCCAGTCCAACCCTGCCTCTCTGGAGACGACTCCTGGCAGGGGTGGGTGGCTTGCCCCCTGCTTCCTCCCAGTAGACCAGGGGGAAGATCTGGCATGGCTGTATTCCCAGCTGTTAATCCGGTGTGTTCATTGAACGAATGGGAAGGAATTCTGCGCTAGGAATAGTTTGTGATTAGCAATTTGAAGTGGGCCACTAACCAACTGCTGCATTTAGCACCTCTATTTTTTTTTTCTAGAAAATACACCGACTTGGACAGCCAGCCCGATGGGGCCTGCTGTTGAAGTATTTCCCAAGTGTTCAGAGCATGCTAACCCCTCCTCTACTGCAGCTCCAGCAGCCCCGCCCACATCCCTTGCGGGAGAAGCGGAGAAGGGTCCCCTTGAGCTGGTGCCTTCTTGGCTCCAGGGTCTTCCTGAGAGAGACCCAGTTCATGATGCTTTGGGGGGCCCTTGGCAACAAATCAGAGATTGCAGGTGTTCGGAAGTGGAGGAGTCAGCTCAAGAGTAGCACAGTGGATGAGAAGCGCCCCCCCCCCCCCAATAGGGTTTTCTGTTAAGGCCTCTTTAGGGAATAGGCTCGGGGGCATGAGCAAGTGGGCTGTTCCTGTGTCTGAGTGTCTGTGCCTGGGGGAGAGGGAATAGTAACACACATGCACACGTGTGCACACACACATGTACACACATGTGCACACACACAAGGGGGCTGTGTTGCAGAACCAGCTCTGCAGGGGGCCTACAGGGTCTGGGCTGAGCCGCACGTGGACACCCCGGCTCCTTCATCCCGTGCACGTGATGAACCACAGCGCTCATGGACACAGGCATCGTTCTGGGCACCGAGCTGCTCTGGGCGTGTAGCAAGGAAGGTCTCAGCCCCAGATCCCCGCTGAGCCCACAGCCGACATAAGGACGCGGGCAGCCACAGGGGTCCTGGGGAAGAGGAAGCCATTCAGCAGGCTCTGGTGAGAAACACGGGGGCTGTCTTCTCAAAATCGCCCTCCCTACCCCGCTCTCTCCTCCAGGGCTTGCTTCTGTGATGTCAAGGCAGGAGGTGGCCTGTGGGTGCTCTGTGGGGCTTCATGCTGGCATTGGAGCCCTCGTCCTTGGAGACATCCCCAACTGACGCTTCCTCGGAGCCTGGCTCTGGGCTCGGGCTGTCCGTCCTACGCCCTGGGCTGCTGGTTGGGCCGGCACAGTGTTGGGTCTGGAGAGGCTCCCTCCCTTGGGGACACCGAGCTGTGCTGGGCAGTGCGAGGCACACACCACGGTGGGGCTTGGCAATGGCAGCTACTCCACCAGGAATGCCAGCTCCTTGAGCCCAACTCTGCCCAAAGCCTGGCTGCAGCCGAGTGCCCTCTGATGCAAAGGGTGTCTCTCTTTACCTCTGCACCTGCAGGGGCTGTGCAGCCAAGAACTGCACCTGGTACTCAATTCTTTTTTTTTTTTTATCCCCAAGAGCCTTAAGGCTCACTTTTAAGGTTTGCCTTGTCGGTTGTGGATCTTTGCACCACCCACAAATGGACACTCAGGGTTGTTCAAAAAGACTGGCAGGACAGCAAGTGCCCAGGGCTTCCTGGAGGGCTCCTCCTGTGTCATCAGTGTGCCCAGAGCCATGGTGTCGCCATGTTCCCGTCTTGCCCCCGCCACTGGGCTGCAGTTGCCAGCATCCTGCGTGGGGGTGGCCTGGTTTTGCAGCCTGTGTAGAGGGTGTTGGCTGCAGCACTGATGAATATTATTGTATTCAAAACCGACAGGTGCGGTCACATCCCTGGCCAGGACTGAAGGTTGAGGTTACCAGGCCCAGGAGAACTGAACTCAATGCTAAATGAGGGGCTTTGAAGTAACAGGAACAGGAGGAGATGCAGGGCACCCCCCCCCCAAAAAAAAGGTCCGAGGTGATCTGGAAGAACTCAATTTACACCCTGGGCGCCCATGGGCTGGGGGATCAGTGGAGGGCGGGATAATCCCAGCTTCCCCAGCAGATGGTTTCTGAGGACCGCTTGACCCAGTTCCCGGCTGCAGGGCCAACAGCTTCACCACCAGAGGAGCCAAGTGTGGACCCTGCTCCCAGGATCCTCTTCCCTCCGCCTATCAGCAAGGACGTGGTGGCTTTTGCTGCTCTCTGGTGCCAGGTCAGCAGGCAGGACACTGTGCCTTCCAGAAGGTGGGGCGCCCTCCCCCTCCCCCCCAGCACTGTCCAGCTCAGGTGGGGGCTGTAGCCATTGGGGGGGGGTCTCAGGTGGGGGAGTGGGGGTTGCTAAGCCATTCACAGGCTGTTACGCCTCGCATTCACCCCATCAACCAATCATTGCTTCCATAAGCTCTCTCTGCTCATATGTCAGGTCTGGTCTTCCCCCCTTGGTGAGGACCTAACAGCCGGGCTGAGCGTCTTGATCCGGGCACAGCAGCGCAAGGAAAGGTTTCACGGCGCAGGAGAGAGGGCGCTGCGTGTGTCAGCAGTGCTGAGCCTGAGCGTGCCTGCTGTGGTCCAGGACTGGGCTGATGGAGACAGCAGAGTCGCCAGGGTCGGTGCAGGGCTCAGGGCCACCCCATAGGAGCTGTTGGCTCAGACAGAGAAAGTGGTTGGGAGCAGTACAGACGCCCCTGGAGAAGCCTCAGGGTCGTCACGGCCCATCCTCTCGCGTCCCTGCTTCTGACCTGGGCTTAGCCAACTCCGACCGGCCCGTCTTGCCCTGCGGACTGTAGGACGGTTCCTCCGCTTGGGAGGGAGGGGGCGCTCGGCCTCCAGGCTTGGCGGGCCTCGGCCGGCTGCAGCTCTCCCAGCCGAGCCCCAAGGCAGCGGGACTGCCCCGCGGGCTAGGCTCTCAACGGGGAGGTGGGGGATGGATCTCCAGCCGGAGGCTACGCTCGTCCGGGTCTCGCACCATCCCAAGAAAGCCGGAGTAACTTTCGGTCCCCTGCTTCTGCCGTGGAGACCCGCCTATTGTTGCGGGTGCGGGTCCGGCCAGGCCAGGCAGGGGTGGGGGGAGGGGGCGCGACCTCCCGTGGGCCCTGCCCTGCTGCCCCCGCCCCCAGGTGGCGACGTGAGGAGGGGAGGGAGGAATAAATGGCACTCAGGGTCTGGGGGTCAGGTTCCCACGCCTGGTGTTTCTTGCTTGGCGCCTTGGAGCCAGCGTTCCTCGGCGTCCCTTGGCAGGCTTGCACCTAGTCCGTGACACAGATACCACTGTGACCCCTGGACGGGGACCGGGACGGGGAGGTGGAGGCTCTGTCCAAGGTCACTCCCCGCAAAGCTATCCCGGGATCCAGCGGGGTATAGGTTTGTGCATTAGTGGGGAGGTGGAGCTGGAGACCCCGCTGGCCCGGCAAGCTCCGGGGCTCACCGGCTTCGGAGTCCAGAGGCCGAGACCCCGCAAGATGTGGGCGTTGCTCGGAGCTTCCCCCATGGCGGAGCAGCTGGCCAGGCCTCCAGCGGCCACTGCCGCCTTCCAGCTTAGGGGCTGGGTGTGGGGGCAGTAGTCGCGAGCCGCATGCACCTGCGGAGTCTGTCCCGCGGCGTCGGGAACCGCGCCGGCCGCCCCCCCCCCCACCTCCGCGCCTCCCCAGGCAGGCCAGAGAAGGGAACCCCGGAGGGCCCGAGGCGGCCAAGGCAGCGGGAGTCGGCTCCCCGGGTCCGGGAGGACGGTGGCCGGGGCAGGGGCAGGGCCGCCCGCCGCCCAAGCAGGACGAGGGTCCGGGGCACCCACGTGGTGGGAAAGTTTCGAGGTAGCAAAAGTGGCCTAGCATTGCGGGGGGTTGGGGGGAGGGGCGAGGGCAGGCTCGCCCCTCCTCCTCGCCAGGGCAGAAAGGGAAAGAGCTGAGGGGAGCGGGGCTGGGGGCGGCCCCGACCGGAGCAGATTCCGCCCCCTCCCTCGGGACCCGGGCGTGCAGGCGCGCACCATCTCCTCCCGCACGGCCGGGACGACACTCCCCCGCCCCCTTTCTCTGCCAACGTCTATCTCAACGCGCGCGCACATACGGAGATTGTGCGGCTTTTTTATCCCTTGGGAGGAAAAACGGGGAGAGTAAGAGCAGCGAGGGCTCTGAGAAGTCGTTGTCCTCCGCGCGCTCCGCACTCCGTGCCGTGACCGGGCGCGGGGACGCCGCCGCTGCCGCCACCGCCGCCGCCCGCGCTCTCTCCACCCGCGGCGTGTGCCAGTGCGGGCACGAGCCAGGAGCCCGCTCCGGGGCCGCTGCAAGACTTTTGGGCGCTCGAGCTCACATCGCCGCCGGCGCCGCGACCGGCACAGGAGAACCGGGCGAGAAGGGCCCTGCCTCCGCCTCGCCCTCCGCGCGCGGCACCCCGCGCCCGGCCGGCCCGCGCAGGCAAGGCGGAGGGAGGGAGGCGGGCAGCGAGGAGGCGGGCGGAGCAGAGGCCCCGGCGAGGCGCGCAGCGGCCGGCCCGCCCGCCGCCGCCCGCCCGTGGATGCGGCGCTCCGGGAGCCAGGAGACAACTTTGCCGCGTGACGCGCCGACAGGACTGCAGGGCCCGCGGCCGAGGGCTCGGCGCCGCTGCTGAGCGGGCCCGCGCGGCCGGCGCTCCCCGGCACCGCGTTCGCTCCGCACCGCCGCCCGCCGGCCCGCCGAGAGGAAGACCTGCCCGTCGCCGCCCGCAGCTGCCCTTCGCTTCCCCGGCGCGAGGAGCGAGGGCGAGGCGCTCAGGTGCGAGCGCGGGGCCCCGCCGCAGCGCCCGCCGCAGCGCCGCGCCAAGCCGCGCCCGGCTCCGCTCCGGGGGGCTCCGGCGCCTTCGCTTCCGTCTCGGCCAAGTTGCGTCGACCGAGCCTCCTTCGCCGCTGCGGCTGCTTTCGCTTCGCCCGAGCGAAGCTGCGGGGCCCCGACGCGGCGAGGATGGGCAGCAGGCTGCGGATGCCGAAGCGCCCCGAGACGCCCGCGCGGCAGTGACCCGCCAGCCCCGCCTCGCCCGGCGCGCCCCTCCGGGCCCCGCGGCCCTCGGCGCCCCTTCTCCACCGCGCGGGAACCCCCGCGGCCCGGCCGGGCCCCCTCCCCCTGCGAGCCGGCCGCAGCCCTCTCCCGGCGGGCGGGCGGGCGGAGGCCCCGGGCGGGCGCGGGCGGGGGCGGGGCGGGGCGGTGCGCCCGGAGCCCGGAGCCCGGCCCTGCGCTCCGCTCCGCTCGGCTCGCCTCGCCTCGCGGCGGGCGCCCTCGTCGCCAGCGGCGCACCATGGACGGGCTCCCCGGTCGGGCGTTGGGGGCCGCCTGCCTGCTGCTGCTGGCGGCCGGCTGGCTGGGGCCCGAGGCCTGGGGCTCGCCCACGCCCCCGCCGTCGCCCGCTGCGCCGCCGCCGCCCCCGCCGCCCGGAGCCCCGGGCGGCTCACAGGACACCTGTGCGTCGTGCGGCGGCTTCCGGCGGCCCGAGGAGCTGGGCCGGATGGACGGCGACTTCCTGGAGGCGGTGAAGCGGCACATCTTGAACCGCCTGCAGTTGCGGGGCCGGCCCAACATCACGCACGCCGTGCCCAAGGCCGCCATGGTCACGGCCCTGCGAAAGCTGCACGCAGGCAAGGTGCGCGAGGACGGGCGCGTGGAGATTCCGCACCTCGACGGCCATGCCAGCCCGGGCGCCGACGGCCAGGAGCGCGTCTCGGAAATTATCAGCTTTGCCGAGGCAGGTGGGTCGTGCCCTCCGGGCTGCCAGCCGCTGCGCGCGCCCCTCCTTCCCTTCCTCTCCCCCTCTCCCTGCAGGCTCCGGCCGGCCGCAGCCCGAGCGCCCCGGGGGCAGCTTGGACTCCCAGCCTGGCCCGTCCGGCCGTGCCGCGCGCGCTGCGGCGGCTCGCAGCCCTCCCTCCCCAGGCCGTAGACCCCTCTCCCGGCCCCGCTGCCCAACCGCCCCCTGCTCGCTGGCATCGGGGCCCCAGCGCCTGTGGGCGCGCGGCCCCCCTCCCGGCAGATGCGTGCGGCCCCGGCTGGCTCTGCGGGCACTTGCTTGGTGATTGCCTAATGTTTTTGTTTCCCACGATCGGAGTGCAGGCTTAGCAGTGTGGATGGAGATGTGTGTGCTTGTTGATATACGTGGGCCGGAGGAGCGCGCGCACGGGCGCGTGTGTGCGTGCGTGCATGTGTGTGTGTGTGTTTGCTTGTGTGTGCGTGTGTGTGTGTCTGCGTGAGAGGCCCCCGGGGGCGCTTCCCTCGCCGGGCGGCGTGGGCTTGCCAGGATTGCTGAAGCCTCGCTGGGGAGAGCTAGGCAACCTCTTCCGATTGTGTGGGCATTAGAATCGGGCGGAAGGCCGGCTTCTCAACAGGTCCATCATTTACGCAGAGAAAGACGCGGCTCGGGGACAGCCCCGTGCCTTTGGCCTTGCCTGGCAGCGGCCGGCGGCAGCCCTCGCTCCCAGCGCCGCGGAGTTCGCAGTTAACAAAGGGCAGGGCTCCTTTCTGGAAGCCACCCCTCAACACACGCTCGGGGCCGCAGACTGCAAATTTCTACCACCGTCTAAATATAAAGAGCAAGGAGAGGGGGGGAATCTTTTAGAACTTAAAAAAAAAAAAAGGCAGGAAAATGTGCCGCGGCTGAAATGCTGCAAGTGCTTTGGGTTCCGCTGTCCTTTTCAGAACTTGAATGAGCCAGGCTGGCTTTTGTGCCTGGAGCCCGGCCCCATTTGTGCGGAGGGAACCGCGGAGAAGGTCGCAGAGGGGGAAGCCCCTGTGCGGTTGGGGGTGGGAAGGAGTCTGGGTGGGGGGAGCTGTTGTGCCCCTGGCTGCAGATGCCACCCCCCCCCCCCAGGCAGCAGGCAGACCGTGCTGGTGCCGCTTGCAGATGAAAAGGGATGAAAAGTTTTGCATGGCCGGGTGTGGAAAAAGGCAGACACAATCAGAGCCGGCTTGTGCTTAGAAAGAGGTGCATTGCTGTTTTAGCAGCCGGCCGGGAGTTCGGGAAGCTCGACCTGCAATTAGAGGGCTTGGGTTAAAAAGGTGCTTGGGCTGCTCCCCCCACCCCTGCCACTGCCCCCCCCCGGGGGGGTGGACATGCGATTCTGGAAGGTCGAGGAGGCCTTTTGGTCCCCATGGCACAAAATGACAGCGGGGCTGTTATATTTCGAGTCCGTTTCCCCGGAGCCAGCTCTTTGGCGTATAAATAACAGATTCAGGTCACAGGCAGCTTGTCCAAGACCAGCTTTTAAGGCTACAGCTTCCCCCATTTCAAAGTCAGATGTCAGTGTTATTAGAAGGAGCTATGCAGGGCCCGAGGAGGGGGCTGGCGGGTGTTGGGGGGGGGCGTGGAGGGATGTTTGTTAAAACCAGCTGTGGCCACTGAGTCGCTTTATTTGTTCTTCCTGGGTGGGGGGCAGTAGAGATTGTCAGAGGGGTGGGTCACTAAGACACAGGATGTGAGGGGAGTCAGCTCTTGGTTGGGGTTCCCCGTTTTCTTGTGGAGCTGCATGATTGAGAAAGCAAGTGAGCCAGTTCCCCACCTTTCCTGGGAGGTGTGGACCGTGCAGGTGGTGGGGCCCCGGGGTCTGGTGGAAGGAGCTGACGGCCAGCGTGCAGGCTGAATGCCCTGTTCCTAGGAGCTACACAGACACAGGGCTGCGCTCTGCAGCGCGCAGAGCCCACGTTCCTGTGTCAGGAAGCAGAGCAGGACTTGCTGGCTTGTTTGTGGTGGAGGTTCCACTGGGGGTTGGATCAGATCATGCTTAGGTAAACACTGCAAAGAGGCGGTAGGTGGCTCAGCGCGATTTTGCAATGCCCTAAGTTAACCAGAAAAAAAAAGAGAGAGAGAGAAGGAAAAGAAGGAGACCTACTAAAGTAGCCCACCCCCAAAATCCTCGCTGCGATCCTGGTTTTGTTTTCCAGATTGCACAGATACCCATAACAACTTGTTAAGATCTTGGCCTCCTGACAAGTTCCTCTGTTGAGCTTTGAGGCCTGACAGCCTGTCTCCAGGGAGCCCTGGCCTAGGAGAGGTGAGGCAGGAGTTTCACAGGCCCAGGGCCCTCCGGCTCCAACCTGCTCCCGAGGCCTGGATGGACAGCGCTTGTCTCTGCCCCTCCCAGGTTGCCTGGGTCCGGGAGTGTCGCTCCTGGTCCATGGCCTTTTCCAGCGGTGTGGCGAGTCTGCATCCCAGCATCAGGCTAGTGCTGAGTCCCCGGGGCTGGCGGCCTCAGGTTCCCCCTGCGTGAACTTGGCCTGCTCTCCTCTTGTCTCCGCAGATGGCCTCGCCTCCTCCAGGGTCCGCCTGTCCTTCTTCGTCTCCAATGAAGGCAACCAGAACCTGTTTGTGGTCCAGGCCAGCCTGTGGCTGTACCTGAAGCTGCTGCCCTACGTGTTGGAGAAGGGCAGCCGGCGGAAGGTGCGGGTCAAGGTGTACTTCCAGGAGCAGGGCCACGGCGACAGGTGGAACGTGGTGGAGAAGAAGGTGGACCTGAAACGCAGCGGCTGGCACACCTTCCCGCTCACCGACGCCATCCAGGCCTTGTTCGAGCGCGGTGAGCGGCGGCTCAACCTGGACGTGCAGTGCGATAGCTGCGGGGAGCTGGCCGTGGCGCCAGTGTTCGTGGACCCCGGCGAGGAGTCGCACCGGCCCTTCGTGGTGGTGCAGGCCCGGCTCGGGGACAGCCGGCACCGCATTCGCAAGCGAGGCCTGGAGTGCGACGGGCGGACCAACCTCTGTTGCAGGCAACAGTTCTTCATCGACTTCCGGCTCATCGGCTGGCACGATTGGATCATTGCGCCCACGGGCTACTACGGCAACTACTGCGAGGGCAGCTGCCCTGCCTACCTGGCGGGGGTCCCCGGCTCCGCCTCCTCCTTCCACACGGCCGTGGTGAACCAATACCGCATGCGGGGCCTGAATCCCGGCCCGGTGAACTCCTGCTGCATCCCCACCAAGCTGAGCTCCATGTCCATGCTGTACTTCGACGACGAGTACAACATCGTGAAGCGGGACGTGCCCAACATGATCGTGGAGGAGTGCGGCTGCGCCTGACGCTGGCGCGGGGGGCGCGGAGCATGGCCCCGGCGGGGTGGGGGTGGGGGGTTGCACGCCAGGCTGAGCCTTGGACGCTGAGGCCTGAAAGCTTTCCCTTGGGGCTTCGCAAAGCGAGCACTCACAAGCCGGGGGAGGCGGGGGAGACCCCTGGACTGACTCTATAGAGACGAAAATGCGCACGTAGGCCACGCACAGCCCTACGCCTCCTCCTGCCACCCGCGAGGCGGCCTCTGGCATCCCAGCCGATGGATACAGTGCCGAGCGGCCGCTCAGCGCCCATGCCTCTCGCTTGGAAGGAATGGGGCACGCAGCCACCACCCCAGCAGCTGGCCCGGCCACTCTGTATCACGCCTTCCGAGCATACGTAAAAGCACAAAGAGACACTGAGAGAGAGAGGGGGGTGGGGGCGGGCGCAGAGCGGAGGAGCAGATGCGGGGTGGGAGCATGCTTGGGGCAGGCAGGAGGCTCATTCCAGGCCAGGCCTGCTCTGCAGTGGCGGCTGCTTCCTCCCTGCCTGGCATCAGCCGTGCTGCAAGACCAGGGGGCGCCTGTCCCGAGGTGCCCTTGCAGTGGGAGAAAGTTCCAGAAAGGACACAGCAACCTGTCAGAGACCGTGGAGCAGAGCCGACGACCGTTTGAGCGCTCGTCGCGTCGCTTGGGTCCCTGCCGTGACGTGTGTGTGTCTGTGTTTTTGGGGTGGGGAGGGAGGGAAAGGCGAGGGGTCTTAATTTGATGCTTTAATTGAACTCCAGCGAGCTGACAGGTCATTTGTGCCACTTGTGTAACCGAAAAGGGGACTTTTCCACTAGTTAATGACCTTCTCAGTTAAAAAAAAAAATCTGAATTGTTCTAGATGCGAAGACAAAATGTTGCAATCTGTTGGCCTCCGCTGGGGACCTTCCTCCGGGGCTGGTTCGGGGAGGGGAGAGGCGTGGTGGTGGGGTCTCGCCCCCTCCCCCCTGCTTAGCAGGTCTTGGGGAGACGGGGAGGATCTTGCAGCTGCTTTGCAGAAGTTGCTCACGTGGGTCACGGCCCCCAGGGCCGACCATGGACGTGGCCCCTGCCCACTTGCCCGCCCGCCTGAGCGCACACATGATATAGCACTTGCCGATTCTGCGCGTGTCCAGAAGTGGCCCTTGGCCGGGCAGTGAGTGCGCTCGCCCTCTCCATGGCCAAGTGCCACGTGAACTATGCAATTTAAAGGGTTGACCCACACTAGACGAAACTGGACTTGTACGACTCTTTTTATATTTTTTATACTTGAAATGAAATCCTTTGCTTCTTTTTTAAGCGAATGATTGCTTTTAATGTTTGCACTGATTTAGTTGCATGATTAGAAACTGCCATTTGAAAAAAGAAGTTATTTTTATAGCAGCAAAAAAATGAATACAGTTAAATGTATTATACATAATTTTGGAACCAAAGAGGCCAAGAGATCTGATTTAATTTTTATTAGATGGTGAGGCCGTCTTCGATGAGGTAGATGCGACCATCGCTTAAGTGGCCTGCCAATGTTTCAGGGTATAAATGGATTTTGTTTATTCAGTTTGATGTGTCTCTTCTATCCTTACACACCCAGAAGGTAGAGGAAAGAATGAAGACAGTAGAAGGCAGGTGTGTATCCTTACGTCCCCATCTTTATGTTTATTTAATAAAGTTCCCCTTAGGTTCTGTCTCAAAATAATTTAAAACCAAACAATTTGCCCGTAGACTTGCTGTTAAAGTATTTTACGTCTGTGTACAGTTGAAGAAAATAAAAGTGGAGTGCCATGGGCTTCCTGCCTCGCGTGATGTCTGGGGCCCTTGGGGCCTGGCTTGGAGGTGGAGGGTGTGTGTCAGGGAGGAGGGCTCGTCTAGGTGTCCAGCTCTGGTGCCAGCAGCCTCCATGGCTCCTTCCCGGCATGCTCTGTGAGTCCTCATGGGAAGACAGGTGCCACTCTGAGATTTCAGGAAAATGGCAGAAGATCAAAACGCAGGACAAATTCGTGAATGACACATTTGTTTACCTTGCTTGTTCCAAGGCTAATTGTGTTTTTTGTTAGGCTGCCTCTAGTTTGGTCTGGAAGTGCTGGCTAAGGCCCCATCCCTGGAATGTAGCGTGAAACCTACAAACCTGGCGCCCCTCTCACCTCCAGGCTCACCTTTGGGTCCTCACAGGGGCGGTTGTCACCCAAAAGGGCTATGACTCTTGGGATCCACGTGATTGCCCTATCCGGGGGGACAGCAGACGGCAGTTGAGCTGGGAGAAGCAGTGGCAGGAGCTGGTGGTCCTCAGTGGGATGAAACGGCTGCAGGTGCGCCGGAGATGCCTGCCCAGCCCTGACATCTTCAGGGCGAGGGGTTCCAGCCTCATTTTCCCAGAGTGTGACATCTGGGGCTCAGAGAATCTGGAGGTCCCAGAGCCAGAACAGGGACCCAGAGCGTTGGGGACCGGGTACCATGGCCCGCCCACCTGTGTCCCCTGGAGGACTAGCCTGCTCTGGCCTTGCAGAGCTCTGCCGTGAGGAGTGGGGGTCATGTGTCAGAGCAGGAGGGGCTTCAGTGTCACCCACGAAGGTGACAATCCTCATTGTCACACTGAGGTTGGCCTGGGCCGCTGCAGGAGCAAGGTCCCGATTCACACGACCTCTCTGGCTGCTCTGCCAGGCTTTTGTCCTAAGGATGGGTTTGTTTGCAGTCTTGAGACAGTGTGAACATACAGAGGCAAAAGAGAACAGGGCAGGCCTGGGTGGCCCCTCTGCTCTGGGTGGGCCCTGTCTGGTGGTTTCAGGCCCCCAGTCCAGCCCCCGCCTGCCTGCTTTGCTGGACCCCAGGAGCAGACCCAGCCAGAATTGCCTCTGTAAGTAGGATATGGCGTGCCACAAAGCCCTGAGGTCCACAGGCCAGGGGGAGGGTGGACACGGGCCCCGAGTGGCTCCTGCTGCGACATGCTGGCATGTATGCCCCTGGAGTCTGGTCTGCCCGGAGCACTTGCTGAGGGGCTGGGCACCCCCTGTGCAGCCTCCCGGGTTCCCTGTAGCCATGGCTCCCCTCGCCCAATGCTGCAGTCTTTCTTCCCCAGCCTCTCCCCAGCAGGCCTGGCCCGAGGAGAGAAGGCCCCACCTCTTCCTGGAGGCATCCTTGGAGCTTCAGGCTTCAGGGACCTCGCTGGACTCCAGGGCCCCGCTTCCTTCTCGTAGCGTCCAGGGGGTTACCTGCCATCCCATCTTCAGCTCTACCTGGAACCGGAGCCGGTCCCCACCCTCCCACTGCCATGTGGGTCATTCTCAGCTGACCAGGAAAGCTGCCCCTGCCCCTCGGCAGTGGAACCCGAGGCCTGGGTGGGAGCCACTTGGGAAGGGGGTGGGCACTGGTAGGAGGGCAGCACCCACTCCTCCCTCCCTCCCTCCCTTTCTCTCCCATTTCCCAGGCAAGCTGATGAGGTGGCCAGCATCAGAGTCCCCACCCCTCTCCTGGTCCAGGCTTTTCTTCCCAGCCCACTCAGGGCCTGGCTCAGAACAGGTCACATAAGGGACCCTTGTGGCCCAGCCCAGGGCTGGGAGCAGTGTTCAAGGGGACAGGGCTACTATGCGGCAGAGCTTTGCACCTGGTAGCTGTGCCGTGCTGTGACACCATTGCCAGGAGCCCTACCACAGCCCCAAGCCAGGGCCCTGTCATTCAGGCAGCTCCGGCGGGCACCCTGGCCAGGCCCCTGATCCACCTGGAGCTCAGGCTGGCCCAGCATGCACCTGCAGGACCCTCAACAAGGGCCACAAGGGAACAACTGCTGTGCTCCCCAAGAGGACTTGGGGGCCACCGCACCTCAGAGAAGCCTGCATGTGCCTGGGCCTCCTCTGCGGCCCAGGGGCAGGGGGGTTCCCAGGGAAGCTGCAGCCTGCGGCCAAGCCACAAATGGCTGTGCAGGCAAAGCAGACACAGAACGCCCTTCCCACGGGCAGAGGCCCTGGGAGCTCCTGCGGGCCCGCAGGCCGGCTGCTGGACGTTTGGTGTGAGCAGGTGCCCAGTCACCTGTTGGGCTCTGCAGGGGCCACTGCGTGGGAGGCCGGGCGTGAGTGGCCATGGGGGCTGTGGGCAGGGCTCTGCAGGTTGGCCTGGGAACTGTGGACCAGGTGCAACAGGGTGCTGTGCTGTGACTGCAGGGGGGGTGCTGGGCCGTGCAGGGCTCAGGTGTGTGAGGTTGTGTGGGCGAGCGTGAGACTGTGTGGGGTGGAGAGGGCTGTGCCTGCTTGTCCCCACCCAGAGGCAGTGCACCTGGGCAGTCCCACCCTTAGTGATGGGGACAGCAACATGCAGGGCTTCAGAATGTTCAGAGAAAATGCAAATTGTGAAAACTTTATGCCTGGGTTTCAAAGATTTTTTTTTTCGCACCAAAATAAGCATATCTTTAAAAAAAAAAAACTTATTTTCAGGGCAGGTGTTGTGGCGGTGTGAGTTGAGCCGGAGTTTGGGATGCTTGCATCCCATTTCAGAGTGCCTGACCTTGTGGCCTGCCTCCTGTCTGTCCTTGTACCTTTCAAATAAGTCAACATATAAGTCCTTAAAAGCTACTTTCATTTTATTTGAAAGAGAGAGACAGAGAACTCGCCTTGCTGGTTCACTCCCTAAATGCCTGCAACAGACAGGGCTGGGCCAGGCTGAAGCCAGGAGCCTGGAACTCCATCTGGGTCTCCCACATGGGTGGTGGGGGCCCAAGCACTTGGGCCATCTTCTGCTGCTTTCCCAGGTGCATTAGCAGGGAGCTGGATTGGAAGTAGAGCAGCCGGGACTTGAACCAGTGTCCATACGTGATTCCAGCAGTGGTGGCTTAACCCACTGCACCATAGTGCCAGCACTCAGACTTATTTTTTTACTCCATTTTTTTCCCTAGAACTTTTTGAAGTGTTCTCACATTTTTAAATTAGTGTTGAGAGTCCCCTGGAACACAGTGCCTGTGCTCACCCATACCCTTGCAGGTGTGGGGCAGCCTGGACCGGTGGGCGCAAGTGCAGGTGCCCTCAATGTAGTTCTCCCAGCCCCTGCTGCCCTGCACTGGCCACCCAATGCCAGGGCCTCACCAGGGCACCCTGCAGCCTCAAAGCCGGAGCACTTAGCAAATAGAATGGACAGGTGGGCGTTTAGCACTGGGATTAAGTTGCTCCTTGAGCCACCGTCATGCCGCATTTGAGTGTCTGAGTTGGATTCCCAGCTCTGCTTTTGATCCAGCCCCCTGCTAAGGCACACTCTGAGCAGCAGCAGGTGACAGCCCAGGTAGTTGGGTCCCTGTCACTCATGAGACCAAAACTGAGTTCCAGACTTCTGGCTTCAGCCTGGCCCAGCTCTGGCTGTTGAGGGCATTTGGAGAATGAACCAGCAGATAAAAGATAAAAGACAGCTCGCTCCCGCTCTCTCTCTCTCTCTCTCTCCTTTCCTCCCTCCCTCCCTCCCTCCCTCCCTCCCTCCCTCCCTCCCTCCCTCCTTTCCTTCCTTCCTTCCTTCCTTCCTTCCTTCCTTCCTTCCTTCCTTCCTTCCTTCCTTCCAAATAAATACAAGAAATAACTGAATGGAAAAGTACCATCCAACCAATCATTCAGTCACTCAACAAACACTTCCCAGGTGCCTGCTGTTGCAAGGCAGGCGTTCAAGCGTCATCCCAGCTTAGTCCTCACAAGCACCTGGGGAAGGGAAGGGGGAGCAGGAATCATGATCCCCATTGTATGGATGAGAAAGCAGAGGCTGAGAACAGAGAAGCCATGTGCTGAAGGTCACACAGATCCAAAGTAGCAGAGCTGGGATTTGCTGCAAAGCAGCTGTTTCAAGAGTCACCCGCAGCCCCCGGATGCCCAGGAGGGGTGGCTGTTCCGGGACCTCCCAGTGCGGAAGACCAGGCTGGGGCTGTTTTCTCGGTGTTCACCTGGGAGCCATCAGCTGCCCCCAACTCCAGCCTGGTGCATCCGTGGCAACTGTGCATTGCACTGGGGACAGCTGTCCACGCACCAAGACTACTCCCTCCTGGGTGGGCTGGGCGAGCAGGCTCCTGGGCCGAGGGTTCCAGGACAGGAGCGGGTGTGCACTGAGGGCCGAAGGCTGGAGGCAGGAAGCTGTGGGCAAGTCTCTGGGCCTAGAGGAGGAGGGGGTGACCTGGACCATCCAGAGAAGTCTCGGGGACCAGGGTTAGGCTCAGCCTCCCTCACGGCGTGCTGCCAGCCTGGGTTCCCTCTCAGAGTTCCCGTCTGGACAGTGCCTGCCGCAGGGGTTGTTGTGAGAGCTCAGAGCAGGACCAGGCTGGCGGGGGGCGGGGGGGTGGCAGTTGGCTGTTGCTGTTTTCCAAAATATTCTCTGTGTCAGGAAGGGCCCCACCCTTCCCCCAGGCACCTCATTCATGCTCAGTTATTCATTCAAGGACTATTCACAATGGCTGCTGCCCCATGGTATCAGCCAGCATTTATTGAGCACTAACTACCCTCAGTCAGATAGAGTGCTTCCCAACACCTGGCTTATCTCTGCCATCTTCCTGCTGGGCAGGTGACCTGCGCCCATTTAGCTGGTGAGCAAGTTGAGGCTCAGGGCAGTTGAGTGTCTCGCTCGAGGCTTTGTAGCTACTCAAAGGGAGGAGCTGGGTTTGTGGCTATCCAAAGGCTGTCTTTCCTCTCACTTCTAGGCTCCCAGGAGAACCTTGGGGTCTTGGAGCCCCTTGGGGGGCCGGGGAGGGGGAGCCCAGGAAAAGGTAGGAGGCAGAGCCGCTGGGGAGCCCCTTCCCAAGTGCCTCAGAGGCCCCCTGGTCACCCCTGCCCTATCC